GTTCTTTAGAAGTTGCCTTGGGCACTTCTGCAAGGTCAAAAAGACACAATGCACAGATAGGAATAAACCTACTCTGAATTACTGCATCTGTTCATGCTCCACTGGCTCTGCAACTCTGATGGCAACAAATCAAGACGAGTATGTTGGGAGTCTAGCATTCAACTTCTTAGAAAACACAAAAAAGCAGGAATGGTCAGAAAGAGCCCTGACATGCTGTTAAACATTTACCATCCTGCTCGAGCTGCTGCACCATTAACATGTGTAACAAACATGACACACACAGGTATGGAGGGAGCCCACAGAACCATGTTACTGCAACGACAAAGTCACATTTGCCAAGAGATGCCCCAATCATTCAACAGTGTTGTCTTTTTGATAGGATGCACTGCACATTCAAGGGAAAATCTCTTCCCTTGCCACTATGTTCTGAAGAACCAAAACTGGTTGTTTCTTTTCTGAAGTCCTTTGCTTACCAAGGGGACTTAGAAACTTCAGCTAGTGTCAAAATAAGCTATGCTTTATGAGAATTCTAGTTAATAATGCAGAGCTTTTGGAAAGAGGTACCTGAAAACCACCAGGACTTTGTGTCTAACTTCTGTCAGGTGCCACTAAGTCAGTTAGCAGTCCCTTTCTTTTGTTGAAAATATAGCCTTATTTATTTTATAGTATTAGATAAAGGAGCCCACATGCTCTGAAAGGCCAGCTACCCTCAGGGCAGATTACAGCTCAACCTCCATCTCTGGGCAGCTGAGTTGAAAATCAGTGGTTATCATGGAAGCATATTGTAAGGCTGGGATACTGCTGTGAATAACGAAGCATATAAAGTGTTTTGATAAACCAAAGGTATCTAAACGAGCCTCAAAAAGAAAAGAGAGAAAGCATTAGGGCTTGTCTTCCAAAATCTTCCATTAGTACCCTCACAGAGTTCTGTTTTCTACCTCTCAGACTCTGACTCAACAATCCATTTCAGAAAATGAAGAACACAATCCTGTCATGCCTTCACAGATTTAACTTTGTGGTAGCAAGATTATATTGTTGTTATTTGCCATTAAAGATAATAGTTTTGTTGGAGTTTTCTTTTGCCAGCATTTATGTTATTTTATTAACGTCTCCATAATACCAGTTAATGCTACAAAAGGAATTCCAATTTTTAACATGATTATTAGTCTTGATTTTCATCCTCAAAGCAGAGATGTTCTCGAAGGAGCCTGGGGAGGAGGAAGGGGTACGACACAGGCTCTGCAGTCAATTGTTACCTCAAAGCACATACGCTTAGATTACTTTTCTTTGATGCTGCTGCCAATTTTATACACAAGCGTATAAAAAAAGGTCATGACATTTAGAATTACAGTACTCTGGAAATTAAATGTTCCTTTACATTTTTAATTTCTGAAAGTAATTTATTATGGAATAATATTTGAATATGATTGAATGGACGTGTAAAGATTAATGCGAACTGTCTTCAAATTGGAAGTTCACAACCACAGACATTTAACCTTGTTGTATAATAGGCATAAAAAAGTTTATGCGGTGGCTCTGAGCTGCATTTCCATTTTGCTGGTAGCATTTGCACTGTTATTCTCCTTAGTATTTTTCCACTGACATGTCTGTATGAGGCATGAGGTTTAGCTCCCTATCATTTTCTACTGAAGGTTATGCTGTATTTGAATGGATTTCACAAACCTGGCAACTAATAAGTAGCAGAAACTGAGTCCCAACTGTCTACACAATTTTTTTTATACAAATTTTTATATGAGAAATCAAACTACTGATTTTTATACCAATTCAACAATATTAACGATACTATAGTGCTATATGAGGAAACTAACACGAATTTGTGTGAAGACTAGAGAAAACACTAAAGTACTCAGTAACCAAAACGCTAGTCAGAAGCTCCAGATTGAGCAGTCTGGAGATCTGGTGAGGGGAAATCACTCCAGTGCTGCCCTGACCAGGCTCCCGGGCACTGCTACGCTCTGCCATGTCATTGCCTCAACCATCTCACACATGTCACCTCGGGCACTAGTCAGGGTTTGTTGATCCAAAGCCAGGTGACACTACTTGTTGAGCAAATAAAGGAATCTTACAAGTGGCAGTGCTATGAACATTTTTTGTGGTCAACAATTAGAATTCATAACTCTCCCATAAAGCTGAGGAAGCTGGCTGGCTTCCAGGGCATAAAGGGCAGAGACACACAATACCAAAATCCCTCTTCAGAGGCTGCTCAAATTGTATTTAGGTAGAATTTATATTAGTATATAGAATTTACTCATTTTCTCACAGCAACTTCACAGCAACATTAAAAGACTGACAAACTGAAATATTCAGTTTGGGACTCCGTTACACTCAGCGGGTCAACCGAAGAGACAATGTCTGAAGAAAAGAGACTGAGAAGGAAAGGGAAAGAAAGTCTTCAACTGGCACACTACTGCCACATTCAAAAATCCAGAAGAAAATTTAAGATAAAGCAAGTTAGAAAGCTCCTTTGCTGTTGATAAATCGATTCTCTATACCAAATCCTTTTGTAGGCATTTCAGCTCCAAACTCCAGAAGGAAACAGACAGTGATAAAGCAAAATACTATACTGCTATTATTTTTTCACATCCATACAATCAGTCCCATGCCCATACACGTATTTTGCTTATAACACCATAGCCAGGCCCATGAGCATTTTCTTTGCATACACTCAATGTAGGTGATGACTTCAGTGTCTTTAGTGTCTTTTGGATGTTTCCATACACACCTGGCAATGATATCCCTTATTTCCCAGGTGACTGTACCCCTCCAAGGGGGCACAGCACTCTCTTCCTGCCACTCTGAAGCTGGCAGAATTGAGGCATTTAATATCCTTGTCCCCAGGGCAATGACAGCAGTACTGTTAGCTCAAGTTTGGCCTCTTGAAAAAGCCTTCAGGAAAGTTGCTCTGCAGATCACCAAATCCATTAAATTAATGCTTTGTTGGCTAGAGTTAAAGTTTTGAGTCAAGCAAAACAAAAGCCTGGGTTTCAGAATACGTATACCCTGTCAAATTGCATTTATCAAGATAAGGATTATTAGAATCTTTTTTCTCTCGTGTGAATGAAATTGTAAGCTTAAAATGTCACTGAAGATTTATTAATCTGATAGTCCTTCTGATAAGGGCAAGAAAGAGGCCATATAGGGAGCAGCTTATGAGAAGAAAAGTGTATGTTTGTGCCTGACTACAAGAAATAGGAAATATGAATAAGGCAATTTATCAGTGGGTACACTGTAACCAAAAGATTCAAGCCACATAAAGCAATATTACAGTTATACATTGATTTCAGAACCTTGCCATCTAAAATACTTCATCTAATTCTGCTAGCAATACAGAAAAATATCTGTGATTTGCAAAAAATGGAATAAACCTGAATTTTCAAAATCTAAGCTGGAGAATCCTTTCTTGTTCTAGAAAGTAGCTGGAAGCCTAACGTGAAACCTGGTGCTGTGCTGGAGGATACAGTGATTGGAGCACCACAAGCAGGTTCAGTGGTGTTTGCAGCTGAAGCAACAGGGCCTGAACGAACCAGAGGATGTGCAATTGAAACTTTTTTTTCCTGTTTCTGTGCCTGCTACTGTCAAAACGTTCCACAGTGGGGAGGAGGAAGAGCAGTTCTTAAATACTTTGGCCCAACCAGACTACTGTTAAAGCTTCGTGTTCTTTATACTCCACGTGGTGCACAAGGCAAATAAGCACATTTCACTGCTGAACATGACAGAATCACCCCTTTGGCTTTGTGAGTCCCTAGCCATTAAAACTTTTTTTTTTCCCGCTTCTGTGCCTGCTACTGTCAAAACGTTCCACAGTGGGGAAATTGAAACTTTTTTTTCCTGTTTCTGTGCCTGCTACTGTCAAAACGTTCCACAGTGGGGAGGAGGAAGAGCAGTTCTTAAATACTTTGGCCCAACCAGACTACTGTTAAAGCTTCGTGTTCTTTATACTCCACGTGGTGCACAAGGCAAATAAGCACATTTCACTGCTGAACGTGACAGAATCACCCCTTTGGCTTTGTGAGTCCCTAGCACAGACAGGAGCCCAGCAGTGGTGAGTGAGCTCACCCTCTCAGCTCTCCTCCTGAGAGAGGAGAGACAGAGTTGTACTTAAAGATAGTCTCGTATTCACTTTGCCACAGATGCTCTTACCAGCACACGCATCTTTTTCCAAGAAACCACAAGCATCAATTCTCTTCCCTTCACAAAGGGCATTCCCCATAGCAGGGTGAAAACTCAGCACCTGGTTGTGGCAATTGCTCTGCTGCTGGACTTTGACTTTTAGTCTCTTTTGCAAGAACTAGTTCCCTTTGGATGAGGTCAGGTCGAGACAATTTGTGCTCACTTCCGTGGAAAAGACCCGGGGGGGGGTGAATTTGAATTAGCGCACCGGGCTTACGGACCTAAACAGAGAACTCACCGGAGAGCTGGCGGGGAAAATGGCAATCTGTGCTGAGACGTCAGCCTTCAGGTTTATGTAACATCATTTGCAATGGGTTTGTTCTTGAAACAATTTCATATATAAATACAGATATGCATATATAATTATTTGACTTCTAATAATACTGTTAATGACAATAAAGATAAAAATGATAATTCAGATCCCATGTAATATGTGTGTGACTTTAAACAAAGTTTTAGTTAAATAGCTACTGATCTTTTTTTTTTATGAACCACCAAGTTGTATTTTTTTCTTTTCTATCTTCTTTTCCGATGATTCAATATTTTCATTCAAAATATTTTCACTCAAAAATGAGAATCATTATCCAGAACTCAGTTTTCCTATGAGACTCTATCAAGTGGGTGTCAGTTTTGCAGCAGTGAAGATGTTGGAAAGCACTACGTGTTTAGAAAAGGATTAGTTGTACCTTAGCTTTTTGTCAAAAAGTGTCACATATAAAATCTAGTTAAGAAATGTCTTCCTTGAAGTTTTCTGAAAACATAACAGGAATCAATTAATCTGCTATAATTCCATTAACAGCTCAACTCACCAGTCTTCTCCGTCTTGTGTTTTGAACTTTCAGGTCCTGGAAGGCAGGGGCAGGGCCCTTCGCATCGAGCTGTGATAGTTTTGCCAGAAGTACATGCATGAAACTCCAACTTGCACTAGAATCATAAAAAGGCAAGAATATGTTTTAAATTAGGACAAGATATAAAAGCAGCAGCTGTGGATTAAATGAGAAATTGCATTTAGCAGTAATGGCATTGGACAGATTGCAAAACTTCAGTCTCTATTGAAAATGCCATTGTTTTTATTATTACAGATAACAACAATAATAGCTACTTCCTAAGCAGAGTTTTGCACGGCACTTCTAAATGTTATTGTTATTATTCGCTGCTTAAATATATGGAATCTGCAGCATAGAAAGCTGAAACAATTAATTCCAGGTCACCTGAGAGATCAGTAGCAAAGCTGGGAAGAAAATACAGACCTCCAGAATCCCATGTTTCCTATGTTGCATTATTGTGTTTCAGGTGTGAAAACACACAGTCTATCCCCTGTTACCACTACTGATTTATTAGTTTGGTCTTTTGAGGAGCTGGGAGCTCTCAACTTCTACTGCAAGCAATGGGCTTGATCTGAACAACATACATGAAAAGACACCAATCCTCACAGGAGTGAGAACTGAAAGAAATCAGCTCATCAGCTGATGAGACTGGTCCTTCAACACATCAGCTTCTCCTAACAAAGAGGAAATTTCAAATTACTCCTACCAATAACTATAAATTGCCTTAACAATTAACAGCACCATCCCTAAAAATAGCCATCCGTCAGGCCATCAAGTCCAGAAATACAATGAAATCTTAAAACTGAAGAGCGAGGACTAAGCAATGAGCACTACGGTGTAGTTCCCTATATCCACATATTGTTACTTGTTCCTTTCCCTTCCCTAAAACCACAGCAGATGGGATTTACAGCACCTCTTCACAGTCTCCACATTTAGGACAGCAGGACACGAGCACTATTTGACAAACGAGTCAACTCAGTAGAATCAATATTGCAAAAATGTGCTAGTTAAAAAGCCCTGATTTATTACATACTGATTATTCATAGCCTTTGCTGTTTGCATTATATGTATTTTAGTGCTGACTTTCATCTAAGAGCCTTGTGCCTCTGTAGTTGCCCTCTCTGCAGTTACTGCCCCAAGGATATTTCCCCCGACTGGGCCCAGCAGCATGGTTGCTGGAGAACGGATTAATGTACTAATAAAATGGAGTAAAAGGAAACAGCACACAGAAGCAGGAACAAAAACATGCAAGACGTTCTCTTTGGTTTGAAACCTAATGAACTGAATACAGTCCCAATTTTTTGTCTTCTTCAAGCACTGATCTGAGGGCTTTTAATGCAAGGGGGAGTTTTGCCTGCAGTGCTGAGGCCAGCACTCCTCCCTGCAGAGACCGCCTCCCGCCAGGGGAAATTGGAAATATTGGGTTGTGAAACCCCTTTGATAAGTCTGAATTTTATTATAGATTAATTCTTTCTCATTTACAAGTAGGCCAGCATGCTTACACTGTGCGACACAACGTGTTTTGAAACGTGCAGCTTTTCTGAAGGCCTAAGGACACACAGCATAAGACCCTGGTGTTACCCAAGGAAGATACAGTGGGCAAATGGAGCTCATCCAGCAACAGCCACTGATGAAAATCACAGCATCATCTTCTGTTATTTTAGTACAGTGGAAGCCAAGAGAACAGAACAGGATGTTGTTACAAGATAAACACCTCCTGCTTTGAAACTACGGCAAATATCTTGGCTTTGTCTCTGTTTGTTTTTGTTAAAAGGGCTCATCTTTGCCCAGGCTTTAATCTAGCAGCAGGAGACCATTACCCTGTGCCTGCATCCTATTCTGTTGACATTATCTCCCGGCCATTCTGAACTTCAATGCTCTGTGTGATGTTCTGCCCTTCTGATTTAGAAAATGCATGGCCACACACAAACATGTGCAAGCTGAGCTTGCACTTTTCATTGATTCTTGCAAGACTGAAGGGAATATAAGTATTTATTTTTCATCTGCTTGCTCTGTAACTACACTTAGCACAGAACACAAACTCAACAGAAAGCACATCAGAAAGAGAGAAGAACAGGAGAAAGGAGAACAGTCTTCGAGTGCACAGTCCTGAAGGCAGTAACTCTTTTTCTGCAGGGCATTCTGATACTCAATATGTTATTGAGAACACATGAATAAATCTTCTTCCTGCAGCTGGAGTTGATCATTTAATCCCTTACAGAACATCAATTAGTTACATATTTTATTATGCATAATAAATGTAAATTATGTATCTAAGCATTAGCAATTATACTTCAAATGCCACCTTTAAGATGGTAAGACCTATTTTCAAGACCGTTATTATGTGCAATTATGAAAGCAAGAGCTTTACACTTGGAAACAGCAAGGCAACTTTTTCCTCAGTTTTCCTTATGATTGATAAAAACAACAACCAGAAAGCTCAAAATAAACCAAAAAAGAAACTGCTTAAAATGGGTTGTCTCTATGATCTGAACATCCAGGGCAAGAAGAAGAGCTAAACTTGAAGATCACAATGGCGCGGTCACGTGAATAAATTTACTCCTACGAGCAACCACATTATCATAGAATGATTTAGGTTGGAAGGGACCTTGAAGATCATCTAGTTCCAACACCCAACCATGGGCAGGGAGATGTCCCACTAGACCAGTTTGCTCAAAACCCCATTCAACCTGGCCTTGCCAACCTAAGCCAATTCCTTATCCACCAAGCGGTCCATCCATCAAATCCACATCTCTCCAATTCAGAGACAAGGATGCAGCGCAAGACAGTGTCAGATGCTTTGCACAAGTCCAGGTAGGTGATATCAGTTGCTCTTTCCTTATCCACCAACTCTGTAACCTCATTGTAGAAGGCCACCAAATTTGTCAGGCAAAATTTTCCTTTAGTGAAGCCATGGTGGCTGTCACCAATCACCTCTTTATTTTCCACATGCCTTAGCAGAGTTTCCAGAAGGATCTGCTCCATGATCTTGCTAGCACAGAGCTGAGACTGAGCAGCCTGTAGTTTCCCAAGTCTTCCTTTTTTCCCTTTTTAAAAATGGGGGTTATGCTTCCCCTTTTCCAGTCAGCAAGAATTTCACCAGGCTGCCATGACTTTTCAAAGAATACAGATAGTGGCTCAGCAACTTCATCTGCCAGTTCCCTCAAGACCATGGACTTATGCACCTTCAGGTTCCTCAGATGGTCTCAAACCTGATCTTCTCCTACAGTGGGAGGGACATTACAAGTTCTGCAGACGTGAACCATGAAGATCTTTGCAGTGATTCTACGCAGGACTCACTGGGAGCAGTCCCACAGTTTGGGTCTGGCCCCCCTGATTTCAGGGAGCCCATCTCACTGGTGTTATGACTGGATATGCCTTGACTCTGCTCTCCTGATAGAGCTCCCTGGGTCCTGCCAAGCTTCATGTTTCTCTGCTACCTCCCTGGTGTTCGAAGTACATTTGTTTAGTATGAACCCCAAGGCCCACATAAACATCTCTAAACTATTTTACTGCAAATGGAAAAGCAGGTCTGTTATTTGTTGCTAAATGTATATGGAGATCAATAAAATATATGAGGGGAGAAATGGTTGAACATATTCATGGAAAATTCATAAATTAATTTATTCAACTAAGATGTGGGAAATTATTGCAGAATGTGTTTTGGCTAAAGTGTTCCCCTGAGAATCCACTACTCGTATAATGATTCCCTCTTTATTGTCAGTGAATCTACAGCAATGTGTTTTGCATAAGCATTCACATTTGAGGGAGAAAGAAAATAGCTACATAAAATTTATTCCCAGCTATTTTATTCTTGTCTGTCAGTCTCCAGCCTATAGTCCCTGCTAGAGTAGAATCTAGATGTTTTTTAATGATGTAATAAAACAGCGTATCTCTGTCTTTACACTCGCTTTCAACTTTTGGCAGTCAGGATTTGATCCAACCCGCACGTAAGTAATAGCATTGAGTAAGTTACTGTGATCTTTTACACAAGGATGTATATTTGACTAATGAATGTCTATGGGGACAGCTTAGTACAGCCTCCAGACCACATTAATGCCTCAAAGAGCTTTGCATCCTGACACAAGGAACTCATGTATTTGCTTAAAATGCAGCCAAGTAAGGCAGCAATGAGGTGAAGGAGGGGATGGCAGTGCCCAGGGAGCTCATTGGGAGCATCAGTACGGAGCAGCTGGGTGACCTGCCTCCCGGCTGGTATGAAGGGATGAGCACCTCTGTGCCCTGCTGCTGAGCTCAAACTCCCTCCCAGCAGCCAGGGCACCACAGGTGAGAGAGACAGCAGCTGAGGAAGCTGCTCCTTCCTCCAGGAGATACCCAGCTGGTCCCTGCTGGGATCAGCTCCTGCCCCCCCGCCAGCAGAGGAGAGCAGACAGGAACCTGCAACAACAAACACTCCCAACAGCAGAGATGGACTAAGTGCCCACTGACAGTATTCGATGCAGTAACGACACACTGGGATGACAACTGAGCTCACTCAGTAATGGCACAGCTGTGTAGTTCCTCACTGTGACTATAATCACAAAATACGGGGTAAATACCATCAGATCCCAGCCCTGACAGCACCCCTTCACTGGGAATGCAGGTCTAACTGAGAATCTGCTGCAGATGCCCCAGATGGCCTGGGACACACTATGTGCCCAGCGTTGCTCCTGGTCATAGGACCACAGAGAGGACAGACAGACAACAGAGCACTTCACACAGCCACGGTATCCTGGGCAATCTCACAGCCCGGAGAGCAAGCACCAGGGAAAGGGATGAGGAGAGAGCTCACTTTACCCAGCCTTCAGCAGAGGGGAGGCTCTCCCAGACCCCCATTTAGTCTTCATGCATAAAATTCATCACACAAATCTATCATTCAAAATTTCTTGTAGCTGTGCTGATAAAGAAGAAAATGTTAGCCTCTGAGCTTTTATTGCTTCTGTCACTAATCAAAATGTGAATTAAAAAGGAGAGAAGGCTATTTTTGTTGGTGGGAATATGTAGGAAGTAGCAGACAATATGCATGATGAAGATAGAGACTTCATGGTAGTTTTTCTCAAAAGTCTGAAGAGTGGCATAGGAGGTTAAATTTTATAC